TTAGTTTTTGTATAATTAATTCTTATTATTTATAAATAAAAGTTTATATGATTTCACTAAATTCTATCTATTTAAAGATATTTATTAAGATGATTTGCTAAATAAATTCAAAACCCTGAAATTTAAGGCATATAATTGATATTATACTTATTAATAAATGAAATTAAAATAAAATTTAATAGAAACAAAAATAAGTAACAACATTTGTAAAGAAGAAGATGCCATCGGACGTTTGGTTCCATATGATTCACTTTCAGCCACCCTCCTTAGTCCTTTGCACCGTACACTTCCTTGGTAGCGTAGTGCTTGCCTGAGGCCCAAACGGCCATTTTGCCTCACAAGAAAAGCCAGAATCATAAAGCAAGTTACAAAGAATAATAATAATTATTATTATTATTAAACATGTAAATCAAGAAAATTAATTACTTAATGGGAAGTTTAATGCAAACCCAAAACATGGAATTTAGTAGAGCTCAAATTTGCCTCTTTTTTTAGGTCCTATTTATATCTTTACATTATGAAAACAATTTTGAACATTTTACAAAATCAAGCAATAGCTTATTTTTCTTTTCCAAAATGGTATGCGTGATTTATTCTGCACATATCATTTCCAGTAAAATCAACTGAAAAAGAAAAGGAAAAAGAAAAAGAAGAAAGATGATGTGATTTGGGGATGATGCCATCAACCGAAGCTTTAATTTGAATGAACAAAAAAGTGTGTCCATACCTTAAGCATCTTCAATTAGAACGATGCCGATCTAATCTTATCCCATATTACCTCGTTCTGCTCCGTCCATCATCACCACCAGCTTGCTTTCTTCTGTACAACCTTCTCAAATCCCGTTTCAGGATCACTTGTTACCAACTGAAAAACTTTGACAATCAAACAACCCAATTCACAGTCAATTGTAAGAAGCAATTCGATGAAAACTTGGGAAACAAGAACAGGAGAATGGAAGTAGACGCAAAAATGATGAAAGTGCGAATGAGGATGAAGGCGAAGAAGCAGTGAAGCTACTAAACCAAATGAAACATCCTCCACTACTAATTCACCAGCATCACAAGAACATAAAATGTTCACAGCCTAGAAAATTAACAGCACTGTAGGACCGAAGAACAGTTTTAAACTAAGACAGATAATGAACTTCTTATCTCATCACCCCTTCTGAATCTTTTAAGAAAGGGATTCCCTAACAAGATTAATTAGTCCTAAAGATTGAACTCATACTTGAAAAGGAACTTAATTAACACATCCAAGAGCACACGAAGGTAACCTCTATTTATTATTATTAGTGAGGAAAGATTATAACTAAGAAGCCCAAGACTAAAAGAAGATGGCTCTCGAGGAAAAAGAAATTACACCAGAAAAAGTAATGCTCATAAATAAATATAAAAAGCTTTTAAAAGATTAGAAGTGATATCAACATAGTAGAAATATAAAACATAGGATGACTAGTGCCCGTCAGCAGGTTGTTACTACATAAAAGAAATTGAAGAGCGGGGAGGACAGAATAAAAGGAGAAAGAAGGGAAAACAAAAAAAAGGAAACAAAAGGGGTTGTAGGAAAAAGGTATCAAATCCATATCACCCCAAATGAAGCTCTCAACATAAACTTTCCCAAAAGTACAGGTTCATTCATCCACAAGTTCGGCAGCACCTCAAACGCAAATATGGATTCCCAAGCATCTAAGAGAAATAAGACAATGCAAACTAATAATCTGGCCTGTCAAATGAAGATTCCCATCAAAACAATGAAGTTGAAGATTTAAATAAGAAAAATGAAACCAAGAAATCAGAAACCAAAAATACATCCACAATATTACTAATAACTGAAATACAACAAAATCAACAGTTTCCCAAATAGATACAATCAGAAGAAGCATAGCAAAGGGGAAAAAAAGAAAGAAAAAAGAAGAAAAGGAAAAGATCACCAAAGGGAAGCATAAAAACCAATTTAATAAAGTGTGATTAAAGTAAATCCGAAAGGAATACTTAAAAAAGATGAAGACCAAACCAAGTAGGCTCAAAATTAAAAGAAAAGAAACATCTAATCGGATCGATTTAAGAATTCGTGATCACAAGGAAATACAATAATATTATTATTATTATTATTAATAAAATAAACTTTTGATGAAGAAGTCAAAAAGAATGAAATTTACAATAAAATATCACTTTTCAAATCATCGGAAGACCAGGAAAAATCTGAAGGAAAATAAATGAAAACAAGATATAAATCAAATTAGAACAGAAAGCTAAAAACAATTGTGGCCGGCGGAAGAACTTTCTTTCTTAATTTAGGTTTGGGCGGGGTGAAGTTAGAGTAGAGCTATCATTAAAAGTTGGTGATAGTTGGTGTGAGTTTGATATCTTAGTGATTAGATGGCAAGAAGTGTTTTTCCTAACATTTGCACTATTTGGTGATCGATAAAAATCATTCTAAAAAAATCAAATTGGTTTATAAGTACTTTTTTTAAGAAACATTTGGAAGTTAGTTATCCAAAAAGTCATTTTAAAATAATATATGGCAATCTGCATTTGTAGAATCCCTTTGAGAAGTAATGCAACCAACACATAAGTGGTTTATATGTATGTAAGTAGGGGCCATACAGACCGAAACACACAAGAGACTTCATTAAGAAAATTGAAGGAACAACATGTAGGGGCCATACAAACCCAAAAATAATAATTAAAAAAGAAGAGAAAGAAGGAAAGGACGAACAAGGTCAAACCAATCAAAAAGGGGCCCATAACAACACTTGGAAAAAAGAGCTCCGACTGTTGATAATAGAAATACATTAAACAAAAAAGTAGGAAAATCACTGAAAACCTTATTAGAAGAAATACAAGGGAGAGTCATTAATGTGAGCCCCATTTGAACCTCCTCCCTATACTCTTCCTATCTTGAAATATCTGTTCCTCTCCCCCAAGATGGGAAGAGTATAGGAACGGATAATTTGTCAGTGATCTCTAATTCAAACATCGACATCCAAGATACAACCAAAAGAAACAACTATCCCAAGATGTTTTGGCACATATCCCAGGTAAAAGGTAATTAATTCACTAGCTAGGATACCTTTATCGAAACACTCGACATCTTTAAAGATTTAAAAAGCCTTCACCCTATTAATATAGTAACAATAGAGGGCTCTATCACAAATTAGTTGAACTATGATGAATAAGAAAACTCCAGGACTTGTTAATCTTAATTGCTTTGATGTTGAAAATGAATTGTGAGCCAGATCCCTATGTTGGCTATGTAAGCATCCAGTCTAAGACCCTTGTCAGAAATAGATGCCTGATGAGCTCCATGCAAATTATTAAAGTAGGCTATAAATAGTATTGCTTTTATACCTATTAAAGATGTCAGCAAGCTTCATTGCAAATTTTCTTAGACCTCACCTCAACTGCCATGAAATCAGTTTTTAAGCGAATATCTGCTCCTTTGTTGCATGCCAACAAGAAAAGCCTAAAAGTATCTAAAAACACATAAATACTTTTCTATACCCTTTTTTTATGGTAACTATGCGGCCAAAATGAAACTAAAAGAGCCAACCAAAGCAAGTAAATTGATTGGCGGGTACAATTTCATAACCAGAAAAATTAGTTTGGTATTTGAATTTGGGTTGATTTGGTCAAATTTGATTAGATTCTTGTACGCTTGGTAGTCCATTGGGGTGCTTTTTTGGTCAAGCAGACAGTTTGGTTTTACAACAAGTCGATTTTTTCAAATTGATAGGCCCGTTGGGCATAAATTTTAACTCTAATTGGAGTCCCATCAACCTACACCCTGTAAATATTACCTCTCCTAAAACCTCTGGCATACCACAGAGACAAGGCCATTCTCCTCTAGTTCACAAGATGCAATTTATAACCCTCTTTTCTTACCTCAATCTTTCCAAAGAAGTCTATAATTCTTTTTCGCCCACTTCACTTTCACGACTCTACAAGGCATCCTAAATATAGATAGACAAGATGTTGGGAGTATTAAATAGAGTTGTCTTGGCCAGTGTTCCTGACTACCTTTCGAGAAGGGCATCTGTAACCACCTTATTACTAAGAGGTTTACAATAATTAGAAATTCTTAAAATTACAAACTAGTGGTAGCCTTAGGGATTATACGGACCAATTACCTAAATAATAATTATACACACAGGCTGCTGTTGATGCCAGTACTAACAGCACCCATTAATTATTAATACATTCTACCTGTCACTATAATTAATGCTAAACACGAATGAATAGTTGAAACATATAAATTGAAGGCTTAAAGTGCGGCAAATAAAAAGAATGAGAAACATCTCATACCATAAATATGATGTGTATCCTCCGAGAGACCCACCAGAAGCCGCCGGACCCCGGTCCGATACGGCCTTGCCAAGCATTGTGCTCGAGTAAATGTGCGTCAACCCCTTCAGTGATGAAGAATCGGACCCGTAAGAGCCTAGCATTGACGAACCACCGGCACTTAATTGGCTTAAGCCATATGAACCCCCACTGTAACCACTCAAGCCTATCCCAGCCCCAACTGAACTACCAACCAGACCCACTTGACTCATGGGAACTACTCCCTGGTTCAACATTCCAACTCCCAAAGCTGTGTTCCCAAATCCACCGCACACAGGATTGAGGCTCGGATGTTGAGCAAACAATGGCAAATTTGAAGCTGTAGCCATGGCCGCCATCATCGGCGGCTGAGTCTGCGCCAAGCTTTGCACTGCCTGCGTTGAATTCTGATTCTTGTTCTTCCCCTCAGCCGCCCTCTGGCAATGCAATTTGTTCCCTTCGAATACTTTGTGTGGCTCCTCAAGAGCCCTCCTCGCACCTTCATTTGTTCTGTAAATAAAAATAGCATAACTCCTCGATTTCCCTGTTTCGGGATCGAACCCAATCGGACGCATCTCCAATTCCCCAAACTTCGCAAAGAACGTCCTAAGCCTCTCAGCATCCACGTTATGGTGCACATTCGCCACATAAATCTTCCGCGGCCCAATCTCCTGACTTTAAGGCGGCGGCACTGAACCCACAGAAGCCAATTGACACGAAGCCATCCTGTTATTCATCTTCTTCCTAGGTTCCTTCAACGCTTTAATCGCACCCTGACGAGATTTGAACAAAATAAACCCGTAGCCCTTAGCCTTCCCTGTATTCTTATCCAAAACCACATTGCAGTCTTCAGTTTCACCAAATGATTCAAAACCCGAAGTAAGGGTTTCTTTGGTGGTGTCCCAACAGAGGCCATGGACGAAAATCTTGCGGTGCGTGACATCACGGTCGGCAGCAGCTCGAATTTGGGCTTCGAGATTAACGTCTTCGAGAGCAGTGGTGCAGATGAGCTCGATTAGTTGGGTCTTGGAGAAGGGCTCGAGGAGTTTGGGAAGATCGTCCAAATCGGAGTCGGTGCCATCGTCGTGTGGCTGAGAGAAAACGGGATCATCAAGCTCCTTATTGAGTTTCTTATCGACCTTGTTGTCAGATTTCTTGACCAGCTTTCTTTTGGTGGTTTAGCTGGTTCCCTCCATTGGAGAACTACTGAATCGCTTCAACAGAACAGAACCAACTCTTTGAGAAGAAGAATCAAAATTTTGCGTCGAGGCGGTCTGAAAAAAAATTGGAATGTCAATATAAATATTTGTTTTTTGGATTAAATATAAATATTTATTACAAATATAGTAACAACCCGATTTCTTTTAGTATACTATTAATTATATTACTTTTGAGTTTCTAAATTTAGTTTACGTAATATTTACTCGAAATTGATATTTATCTAAATTAGTTAAATAATAATCATAATAATTTTATTCTCAAATTTTTAGAATAAAAATTAGGTTAACGTTAATAAAAATACAAAAAAAATACTATAAAATATTTTTGAAAAATACCTAAACTTTTAAGAAAAATAAAAAATATCATTACCGTTAAAACGTTTTAAGTAATAACTATTAATATTTTATTTCAAAATAAAAATTGATCTAATTTTTAATAATAAGAATTTTAACATATTTAAACATTTAAAATTTTATTCATCTTTTTTTTTTAAGAAATAAAGAAATTGTCTATGTCAACGTTTTATAAAATTTAGATTTCATTTTGTTAATCCTCTACTTCCTTCTTCACTAAATGCTTTAAAATAAAGGAATAATTATTCTATTACTTGAGCTTCTCACGGGTATTGTGTAAGTTTGGGCTTGGTTAATTTTGGGCCCAACTGTTTAGTTAATTTTGGGCCCAACTGTTTAGATTGGACTTTGGCAGAGTAAATTCTATTCTTTCATTGTAAACAAACTTTCAATCGCATATTTTCTTTTTATACACATTTTAAAAAAGAAAATATTGAACTTTTTATATCATCCAAACATTCTCTTAATAGCTAATAATTTTAAAATTTTTAATTTAAATTTATCTTTTTTGAGTTTTAGGTTCAATTTGGTCACTACAATTTTTTTAATTTTTGATTTCATCGTGAGTCTGAACAAAAATGTTTTATTATTATCTAAAAACTTTATAACAAGAAGACTGCGACACTACCATATTATTCATTATCATTTAGTAACGCTGAGTTGGGTTATAAAGGTGAGGAATCCAACTGGGATACCAACAACAGCGTGGCTGATAATTAAGGAGATAAGACCCTCTATTATGGGGTGTGTGTGTGTGTTAATTAGAAAATTGTAAGCAGTGATTAGATTACAATGTCCAGATAGGCAGCTTCCATTTGAATAAACTGCATTTGAGGTGGCATCATTTGTGGTTACTATTTAATAGTTATGCCATTGTACTGCCACTCAGAAAAAGGCTAAGCCATTAGTTATTCATGTTATTTTCTGAGTCTGTGTGTGCTCCTTCCACTTCAATTTGGTGACCTGAAAAATGCCTTTCTCCTCCTACGCACCACTGTTCCTTCTCATTCCTGCTTTTCTAAAAACCATCTCTAACTCTTTTCTAACTTTGATTAAACGTGAGGAAATCTCTTCTTAACATATAAATTTTAAAATTATGAGACGGATAGCAATACAAAAAAAGTCAAAGTGAACATATGTACTAACGGTGGACTTAGGTTTGTTACCGTTTTTCTTTTATGATAAGTAGTTGTTCTTATTTGGTATGTTTATGTACTTTGTAATAAATGATTTTTTTTTTTTTGTATGTTGTATGTGCATGTGATGTTAGTGCAGGTAAGAAAAGTTAGATATGTGCCTTTGTACCATGTACGATAACAATTACCTATTTAATATCACAAGAAGGATATGATGAGTGATGCCCAACTATTTTAGTTGGTGCCAATTCTCATCACATAGAGGTAAAGTCTTTCAAGACATACAAAGCGGCTACAACTAACTTGATCATCTTCTTTGGAGATCTCAGATGAGGAAATTCTAAGAGAGCCACTCCAACTACTGTTCATATACGATTCATACTCGATCTGACCAACTACCCATCTTATCTTCTTTACGTTCTTAACAACTCATATTTATTTTAGTAGAGTGCTTCCGTGGCATGTTCGTTGAGGGTTGAATTTTTTTTATTTAGACAAATAAAGAAATGGGGATTTAAAAAAAGTAATTTCTTCTTTTGTGACAAAGACAGTTGAATTGATTAAGAAAATGAAAGAAGCCATTATTGGGTTTGAAGCATGGGGTTTTATTTATTTAGAGCGACCCTAACCAAAGCATGCATGCCCTATAAATACAACCAACTTCAAAGCTTCTAAACACACCAAAACCAAAACCAAAACAACCTTCTTCTTCTTCTTCTTCTTCTTCTCCTTCTTCTTCTTCTTCTTCTTCTTCTTCCATTTCCACAACCATGTCATCCATCGGAGCTTCCTACGCCAAAATTCACCTTCTACAGAAGCAACAGAAGGAGAAGCTCGAGAGAATGAAAGCGGATCGAATATCCCGGGGCGAGGCCGTAATTGCTGCCAACTCCGGTGGCGGTTCTTTGCTTGCAAGGAAGAACAAAGTTCATCCGGGAAGCATTGCTCCAGCAGCTGCTGCCGACAGCTACAAAAACAGGACATGAAGTGTGCATGCATGTGGCCTTCGTGAACTGGTTTTCTTCTTTTTGTGTCTATAAAATTGAAAAGCTCGTTTCTTTTGTACATGTGTTTTAAAATGTGTGTCCAAAAACCAAAAGAGAATAGGAATAGCGTGTCTTTTGGTGTCTTCTCTTTCATGGTATAGTTTGTACTTTCAATGTTCGATGCTTTATTAAAGGAATGTTGTGTTTGATGCTTTATATGTATAATAACATAGCAACATCATTTTACTTTATTTTTTCTCATCCTAAAATTATCCATGCAAATGTAAACCTAAAAGTTGGTTAGGAGTGTTTTTATGAACTAATCTTCAACTAGAACAAATATATAGTCGGTTTAGTAAAGATATTGATCACTTTTATTTAAATTTATCGTTTCTCGCAGTAAAAAAAAAGATTCAAAATCATAGGATGGATTTCATTTAGAGTAGTTGAATGTAAGAACCTATTTTACCCGATAATACTGTAGAGAGATTAGAATATGATGAATTTAATTATATTATTTTGAAAAGAAATTCATCGTTCTATTTAGAAGGAGCTAACCGATTGAGATTTTTAGACAATTTTAGATGCATTTAGAAGCCAACATGTGAAATGTCTATGAAGTTTTAATGATGTCTTCCATAATAATAATAACAATGCAAAGTTCTTTGTTTGGAACATTCATTTTATAAGTTGACTTAAAAAGTGGGAGTAGTAGCCATAGTGCCACCCACTAAAACAATTTATAATTTTTGTATGAAAAGTCAAATTAATCCAATTTGGATCAACTTTATGTCTATTTTTATACTTCTATCACTAAATTCCATTTTTATTTTAAAGCCAACAACCACATTTTACAGTAATTTGTTTGAAAGATAGATGTTAAAAGTTTCAACCAATCATACCCATACCTAGAAGTCAAATCAAGAATTAAATTTGAATTCGTTACTGGATAGTCGCAGAATCTTTCTGTGTCTCTCACGACATGGTCATTCTAGTATATCATCGCTCACATGTATTTCAGGGAAATTTCTAGAAGAGCGTCTAATATAGAATTACTTTAAGTAAAGTGCGTTTAATGATGAAGCTCCTATAATTGAACCATCGAAAAGGATGATATACATTATTAGTATAGATAATAACTTTCAACTCGGAAATGAAACATGTCTTAGTGTAAGGAGAAAGAAGTGAAACATGAAGACCCACCATGTCTTTCTATATGAACAAAATGGTAAGCCAAATACAAATCACCATTCACTTTCGGCAGTTGATTAAATAATGTTCATAAACAAAAACAAAGAAAAAGGGTTTGTAATTGACACATTGCTGCATAATAACCCTACAAGTTGTCTCAAAAACAATTGTGGTTGACAGAGTTTCATTACCCATTTCCTTCCTTTCTCTTTTCCTTATGGTTTCACTATTAATTTATATTCAATACCCACCAAAACGAATGGCCTTGTTCTTGCATGTGAAGCTATGTTAGAATAATGTATATTTCATTATTATTATCATATGAATTGAAGCCACCCACCAAACCAAAAAAAGCTACCTTTGTGGCTCTCCTTCTTTGTGTTCTGAGGTCCCTCCACCGCCCAACTCTTAAATAACACATCTCAATCACTCTACACTTACAACATTGAGACAACGATTGGATCGGGTCCTTTCGATCCAACCCGATAAATGGTTTTAGTTAAAGGTATGAAATTTTGTAAAAAATAACTTACAAACTACCTAATTATCAAAGAAAAAGATGAACAATTGGTTAAAAATGATAGTTTAGGTAAGTTTGAGTACCGGCTATATATTTGAAAGTGTACCGCAGCCGAAGTAAAGTCAAACTCATGAAGATGTTCAATTCACACACCTAACTCAATGAATCCTCAAAAAATCTCAAATTTGACTTTCTTCTAATCTTGTTTGAAAGAGACGAAGATCCGTAATCAACTCTCATATAAATAGATCGTGAAAACGTCATTGAAGTAACTTGATATAAGCTTGAGAGCGCGTGTAGTAACCACTACAATTATGTGTATACTCTTTTCCTTTCGACAACAACTCTAATGTTGAATTATGAAGTGCATTCCTTTGTACCGAAGTTATGTTGATTGATGTTTTTATGAAAGAATTATTGATCCATATTCTTTGAAGTATATAAAATATGTAAGGTGTGCACATTAGTGGTTGTGGGGTCTATTTACTACAATGAACAAGATATAGTTAAATAAACTATGCTTTTCCTTAATGGGTTATTATTAAAGGGATTAAGATTTATGTAGAATCTATTGGCTACAGCAAAGTTAATCGTTTATTAAATGTGGAGTTGTTTGATTACTTTAAGGTTATCACAAATTAGCTTTGCTTATTAACCTAATTCAGCTCAGCTTGAAAATAGTTATCAATTTTGTTTTTCCTTAATCTTAAGAAAAGAACAATAAATTAGAAATGGAAATGGAAATCTCATGATTGAGAAGAATAATTATTAATGACTATTAATTTATTTTTCCTTGAAGAAAAAAAAAAAAAACATAATATATGAAAAAAGAAAAATTGGTAAAATCTCTAACCTATTGTGATTAATTAAACTACTTTGATAATTAATTATGTGTGAATATCAAGTCTTCTAAGTTCATTCATTTTCCTTTAGTTTGCGGGCGGTTGGCCCCATTATGTCTCCGGAGCTTCACAAGCTCTCAGAATCAATGTTTTGAGCCTTTGAATTTTCATTCATATCTTTTCATAGAGAAAAGATAAAGAACCTCTCTTTCAGAGCACTTTCATGAAGGGAGTCGCTAAAGAACCTCTCTTTCAGAGCACTTTCATGAAGGCAGGCTGCCACAGTATTCAGGGAACCTACTAGCCTTTGCTAGCAGCATGTCCACATCTTCAACAATGAAGAACACAGATGTTCGTGGGGGCTAGCTCGTCGTCTGTCGTCTGCTCTTTCTTTTACCAGTACAATGGTTTGTCGTCGATTTCAACTCATAAAATTGAGCTGAACCATATGGAACCTATTTAAGAAATCATAGGGCTGAGTGATCTCCAAAAAGTGTAGCTTCATACCAGTAAACATCGTTTCCATACTTTCTACATCTTCACCCACAAAGTAGGGTAGAGGGAGAAAGATAGTGATCTTAACGTAATTATCACAACATATGTACTAAAAATTGCAAGTCCTTACCACCACAGCCAATATGATTTAGCTCTTGCTTCATTTGCAGGTTCGTACATTCAGAAATCTACGTGCAATGACTGGTGTGGTACGTCTAAAACTTGACCTGGCATTCAAAGGATAAAGTAATGTACAGTGAGTCGACCCTGACGATGCTAAATTTACACGAGCTTCATTGCATCAAACTGAACTTACTGAGGCTAAAGCATATGCAAGTATCCAAGGATGTTTACATATTACCTAATGGCCTTCTTAAACTAAAAAGGGCCCATGACTGCTATCTGTGGCCATGTCAAATTTCATTGGTGCCAATGTACATGAACAAAATTTAATGGCATTGAATGACATTGTCTAATCAAGAAACTGCAAGAGAGAAGATACCTTTAGCACAAAATTATCACTGAGAAGGGGGAGGATGCCCATAGTACACCATCCCAGGCGGCTGAAGCGGTCGGAAGCTAGGTGCTAAAGGTTGCTGCGTGAAAGGAACTTGTTGTGTTTGTATCATAGGTGATGGCTGTTGCAGCATCTGCTGGGTCAAGGGCACCACCGGACTAACCATATGGGGCATAGGTGGAGGTGGCATCGGAGTTGAGCTTGGAAGACTACCATAACCATATGGGGTTAAGACTCCATTTGAGAGCTGCAAATATTGCTGGGAAGGAGCGTTTGGAAACATCTGGTATTGAGCTTGCGAATTATGGGCTTGGCTCTGTATCGTTGGTTGGGGCACCATAACAGATTGATATGAATGGTTAGTGGGAGCAGGATGCGGCTGCATAGACATGAAAACATTAGGATCTGAACCAATGGCCAACGCTTCAGGTTTTAAGATAGAGTTGGAAGAACTCATGGGCTTCGGTGCGAACGAATTCAATCCATTGTTGGTCTTTGTTAGACCAGTGTTCTTTGCGTCTTCAGCCTCAGGTTTTAAGATAGAATTAGCAGGGGAACTCATGGGGTTCTGTGTGAACACGGTCAATCCATTGTTGGTCTTTGTTAGACCAGTGTTCTTTGCCTCTTCAGCTGCGAATGTGGAGAGAACTGATGTCATGATCATTTGAGAGGAGCTAGAAGCTGCGAGCTTGTCAGCAACCTCTGCGGCAATGGCTGCAGCCGACTTCTTAGGAGTCTGTCCTGCTTTTGCTTTTGAATCACTGGTGGAATATTTTGAGACATAGCCTTCATCATTTAGCCGGTTTTGCATATTTCTA